AGATGAAATTCCAAGTATCAGATGAAATCTCAAGTATCAAGTAACAACTGCAAGCAAGGGAAAACTAAGTCCTAAGTCCAAGGTCTAAAGTCTAAAACTCCTCAAGCAAAGGATAGTTAGTAATAGTCCTCAAGAACACATTAAATTTATTTAGGGTTTTGCCTTTATTAATGTCTTTTGATCAAAAGAAAAGAAAAGCCCAAGGGGAAAAAAGAAAAAGACATAAAATAAACGACATAAAAGTAAAATGACATGAAATGTAAATGCTTAAAATATAAATGATATTAAATTAAAGAGGCAAAAAATAAATGACATTAATGTAAAAGTACAGAAAAGTAAAGTTAGCACAATAATATTGAGTTATAGTTAGTGTTAATTATTAGTCAACCTATTCGGGACAAATATAGCGCTATATTAATCAATCGTAAGTGAACTTATGTAGAAGTTGTACCTATCTGAGACCGGGAAATATCAATGTAGGTGTAGTGTATGTTAGAGAAATGATACAAAGTCATTCTCCAAAAACAATACAACATCATGATTTAAAACAAAGCAAAAAGAAGAAGGAGATGAGGAGAGATAGACTGTTCAAACCAACACAACATGAGATCATCTATCATCAATTTCAATCTCCTTTATTGGTAACACAATAAGACAAACCTATCATTAATTCAAAGTACCAAAATGATCCAAATGATCATTTAATGATAAGTTTAAAAAAATGAAGGTTCATACAACCAAAGTATCACCTAAACTTCATTAATCTTAATGAAGTATTGATCAATCAAGCCATGATCCAAGTCAAATAGAAATCAAACAAAAAAAATATGAGAAAAACAAACAAAAAATTTAAATTTAAATGGTTTAAAAATGGAAAATAAATGGAAAATTCAAATGATGCACTAAAACATCAAATAAATGTTCCAAAAAATTAAGGGAAGACAAAAAAATCCAAGGATCAAGATCTCAAAACTTTGGATCCAAAATATTTCAAAGTCATTGAGAAAAAATTGTTTGAAATCAATTAAAAAAGAAAACAAAATAAAATAGAAAAAAAATACTAAAAATCATTTTAAAATTATTTTAAAAAAGAACAAAGGTAGAAAATATTTTTAGGAAATTATGGAGAAAATATGGAATTAAAAAGCATTTAGTATTTATTTTTAATCAATTTTTGAAGAAAAGGAAATAAAAAGAAATTTGAAATAAAAAGAAAAAGAAATATCTAATGGCTAGAAAAGGTGTCACGCGCTGATTGGCTGGAGGATTTGAATTTCGCTCCACGGTGCACGGACATCTTTGTCTTCAACCTTGGAACCCTTGATTTTTGCAGATCATGAACTAGTGGATTCAAGCCAAAATAGCACACGTTTCAACTTCACCAAACATCATCGTTCATGTCTCTTTGCTCAAGATCAATTTATTTGATCTGAGCAAGGAGAATTTGTAGAAAAACGCAGAAAACCTAACAAGCTTCAAAATAAAATTAAATTCCAAATATAAACAATAAATCACAGTTAGGTGAGGGCTTTCACTCAGAAGATCAAGACGAAAAGTGTGGTAACTTCTTTGAGTGGAAATGAAACTCGTAGCTACACGTTCGAAGTAAGCTAGGAAGTTCTGAAATGGTGAGATCGAGTTGGGAGAGGTCACGAAAAGCTTCTGTAATACTTCAGGTAGCTTCAGAGGAAACCAATGGAGGATTATGGGTGGATATTTGAGATTAGAACGAAGAGAAAATGAGAAACCAACTTCTAGTTTTTTTAGAGTTTCGAGTTCTATGGAGGCAGATCTTTTTTGGCTCTTGAAGCTTACAAATGATAGCATAACAAAGCTCTATTTATAGGAAATAGAGTGAGGTCATGGTATGTGCCAAATTCCTCTTCAATCGTGTGAACCAAGCTTAAAATTTTCTAGATCCAATCCGTGTGAAATTGAGTGATGAAAAACATGACTGGAACATGGATAAAGGTCTTTTGGCACTTAGTGGGATGCGTTTAGCAACAACAAGTGATATGCACATGGGTTGGTGGCCCCCAAATGAAGTTTGGCATCATTTCTAATTACAGGTCATGTACCAAAATATAGAGTTAGGTCACCATATTCAAGCTTAGGCCAAATGAAATCCACTCGTGCGTTTCGCAATTTTCTTTGAGCCAAATGATCCTTGCATGGAGGAGATTACAATTTAAAAAGAACCACTTCAAAAGGATGTTTGATATGAAAATGGCATGAGATGTAAATTGGGGTCGTCGCACTGAAAATCAAGTCTGACATTAGGTCAAACAGGTCACGACCTAGTTTTGTCCATAAATGGCCTCCAACATTTGTGGGACTTAGAGCTTGAATTGATGTTTGATTTCTAAAGCAAAGTTTTATAGGACATCATTCTTGACATTTGGCTCAAATAAGCGCCCATAAGTTTTGAGAATTGAAGAAGTTATGGTGTTTGGACTAAAGGACATGCCACACTTGATTTTAGGTCAAACCACCACGTTCCAACTTGTCATTTTTGATGTTTTCTTGCATTTCAAGGCACAATGATGATCATATGAACTTCAAATGAGGTATCCATGATAGACTCTTAATTAATCTTTATGAAACCTTGAGGAAGAGGATGAAGAAGGCATGAAAATAAACACATGAACCTATCTTGAGTTAACTTGCAAACCAAACATCAAACTTGAACTTCTTTTGGAAAATTGGTGTTTAACAAAGCTTGACATGAATGTATCCTAAGATCATAGGTCATGCCTTGAAGAATAAGCCTTGTTGACCACTTGTTGACCTTGACTTTGACTTAGGGAATCAAAACCTTAATTTAGATACCATCTTGATCTTTTGATTGCAAGCCCTAACTTGCAAAAGTAAGAAAATGAAACAAAGCGTGTTTTTGTATTTTGAATAGGGTTAGTAAAACAAAAAAAAACAAGTAAACACAAAGATACAAGAAAACACAAAGGTGATTGGTGATCTCCCACACAACAAACCCAAAAACCAAAGGGTTTGGAGGTTACCAAGTTTGTGATCTTGGGAACATACAATGATATGATAAGTGGGATCTTAGGGGTAAAAAATTAGAGTATGACAGTTATATATATTTGTTTGTCTTGTAAGTGTTGTCCATAACTAACACAATAAGAAAAATATTCAACAACTTAACTGGATTTGAACGGGCCTAAAAAATATATCTCACGACTTCTGAGTCTTCTCTTTTTCTACTTCAATAAACATAATATGTGTCCTCTATAAACTTAAATAAATGTTACATCTCATTTTGAAGACCTCTTATCTCCTTTTGTAATTTACTCTTATGTTTATATATTTGTGTGATCTGAGTGACATTTTCTATGGATCTCACTTTTGCAAAGAAAATAATATATATCTAAATGAAATATGTTTCTTTTTCAAATCAACAAAATTTTACTAAACTAAAACTATTACGAGGAATAACAATGAAAATATGTTTTTTTTTTTAAATTGATAATGAGTGAGAGTTTAAGAGCATGTGAATTTCTTAATTCACTCTATGACTTTCTTACACACTACATGAAATTTCATAAATGTCTCTTAAAATTAGAAGTATACTTTGGATGCGCACCTAGATCTGGTACGCATAGAAACCAGAAATTTAATTCTGGTTTGGAACCAAAGGTGTATTTCCGATATTATTCTTTACAGAAATCAGAAAACATTATTGAATTGCATCGTAATCTCACAATATAATTCAGTCTATAAAATCAGAATTATACTTCCGATTATATATGAAATATCAAGGTAACAACAAAATTCATTTTTCCCACTAAATAGAACCGAAAACAGAATTCTGATTTAAAACCGAAAGTATATCTCCAGTACTATTTTTTACATTTTAAAAGATAAAATCATATTTAATATGTTTTATGTAAAATATGGTGCGTACTAAAAATACATTTTCAATTTTTTGATAAGTAATTTCCTAATTGTATAGGAAATCTTTTTTTCTACACGAAATGTGGTAAAAATTTCCTAAAAGCATGTGAGTGACAATTAAATTATAAAATTAATAATAAAAAATTGTCTCCATCTGTTCACACTTATCTTTGTTCTCTTATAAAATTGTGTTAAACTCAAATTTTAAAATGGTAATGGATCACCAGGTACAACCATATCTCATACTGACACACTTTCTTTAGCTAAATATGTGGAACTTTATAACCATTCCATTCCTATATATCACTCAAAAATGAAAGCAAACGTGTCATATAGAAAATTGACAACTCTTCCAACCATCATTACCACTTTATATATCTTATCATAAATTCAAAACAACGTATGTGTGACACGTTATTGTCTTGTATTCAACAACAATGATGCAATATTTAACTTTTAATTAACACATAAAGAAAAACCGTTGAGAGAAAAAAAGGAATAGAAAGAGTTTAGTTGAAGCTAAGAGACACCTAATCTATCTATTATATATTTATAAAAATAGCTTTGCAACACTTCAGAAACCGCCACTATAAAACAATATAGTTTTTGTGGTTCTAAATCACACTACTTCACTGCACATTCTTGTCTTTTTCACTCATTCACTCCTTCTGGTTAGCTCATTTCTCAATATTTTAAGATTATCAAGTTTATTTATCATTTTTAATATTACAATCTCGGAAAAAAGATGTGTCTGTCTCTGTGTCATGTGTCAGACATTTCAGTTTAATAATCTTAGAAGAAAATCCGTGAATTATTTCTTTATTGTTTTATTATCTTTCTAGCTTACTTTATCCAACAATATTAGTCACACTTTTCTTCTTCGATCAACATCTATCCATCTGTATATTCTGATGGAAACTTCACACTTGATGCATTTACTTTTTGCAGTTGGGAAAATCATAGGGATGGACCACAACTTTCTTTGAGGTACAGCATGAACATGATCCTTATTATATTCATCATGTGAACTTGTTTTTTTTTTTTTTTGAGTTATATATCTTCATTCATGCATATAGAAAATTGAAATAATGGATACAGCATCATCATCAAATCAAAGGTCACTGGAGAGAGTGGTTTCTCAGAAAGCCATGCAAATGAGCAATTCATTTCCATGTCAGATATGTGTGGTGGGATTTCTTTCTGGAATCTGTATTGCTTCTTTGATTATGGCTACTCTTACTTCCATTGGTAGTTTTCAGTTTTCTCATTTTTCAATGCTTAATTTATCATTCAACTCAGATCTCAATTCCACTATCCGTAAGTCTTTTTCCTTAACTACTTTCATTTTATGCCTTTTTACTGCTTTTACCTTTTCAACTTATTAACAAAATCATCTGATACCTCTGAACAAATGTGTCTGGTGTTTGACACGTAGCAGTGTCTGGTGTCTGAACAAATATGTGTCTGGTGTCTAACATGTAACAATGTCTGGTGTCTGAACAAATATGTGTCTGGTGTCTGACACGTAACAGTGTCTGGTGTTTGAACAATTATGTGTCTGGTGTCTGACACGTAACAGTGTTTGGTGTCTGAACAAATATGTGTTTGTTGTCTGAATCAATAGTGTCTGGTGTTTGACATATAAGCAGTATCCGATATAATAGTTTTTCAAATTATTATCAGGATCAAATATATCAGTGTTGGTGTTGTGTCTGGTATCTCTGATGATGATGAAACTTTAAGGACATTTATTCTTGAAGCAAACTTGATGAGTATGAATTTTAAAGGAAGCTTGTACATGGAGTATCATATAATTATCTTAATCCTTTACTTTACCTTACTTTAAGCATACTCTAATTTTAGTCCTTTTTGACTTTGACCACACTTGCTACAAGCATTACATTAGGGAGAGTTAATTACACTATGATCATTAATTTGTTTTGCATAATCAAGTAGTTAACATTTGATAACTTTTTATGAACAGCACAATGTTCCTTTAAACCTAAAGAGATACAAAGATTAACAGATTTGAAGAGCAGAAAAGAGATAGAACAAGATGAAAGAGTGTCTTTGCTTTATTCTGCTTGGAATTGTGTGTTGAATAAGCCTACAAGTGGGGCAAATAAGTGCTTATTGGAACTTGGAATTAATGAATCCAATTTGCTTAATGCTCCACATTTGGAAAACTGCAAGGCGAAATCGCAGCTGCATGACCGTCTCGACAAGCGTATAGGAAATGATTCCTTTCCGCCGTGGACAAGTTGGAACCCTGTTGCTGCAACCACTGATCAGAATCAAAACTTTAGAAGTAAAGCTGTATCTGAGGGCGCTTATCCACCCTGGGTATGTTTCTTAATCATTTGTATTGTATGTAAGGCGCGATGATAATTATTTGATTGTAGAATCTTTTGCAGATTGCAGGATCTGATGAAGAAAACTATCCTTTAACACGAAAAGTTCAACGCGACATATGGATCCATCAGCATCCATCGAATTGTAGCGACGCGAATGTCAAGTTCCTTTTAGCTGATTGGGAGAGATTACCTGGATTTGGCATTGGTGCTCAAATTGCTGGAATGTGTGGACTTCTTGCTATTGCAATCAATGAAGGAAGAGTTCTTGTCACTAATTTTTATAATAGAGCTGATCATGATGGTTGCAAAGGTATAAATTTTGTGTAACGTTATATTTCCGTCTTAACAATTTCGTACAATGTGAACTTCTACTTAGAATGATGCTCATGCAGGTTCGTCCCGGTCTAGCTGGAATTGTTATTTCTTTGCAGAAACTTCGCTAGAATGCCACCAACGTGCATTCGAACTCATGAAAAGTGATGATTCATTGAGTAGAGGAATTTTGACGACGAAAGAAAATTATTCGTCGAAGCATATTTGGACGGGACCAACTCCTAGGCAAGCTCTCGAAGAACTTCTAGCATTCATAGATATATGATTGATTCACTCGTTCCTTAAGTAGATCCTGAACATATGATGCAGGATATGGGGCGATCCGTGGAACTATTTGCAACCGACGACTGATATAAATGGCAGTCTGGTGGTTTCTCATAGAAAAATGGATCGACGATGGTGGAGAGCACAGGTGCTTCTGATGTCCTTGTCTTAACAATCAACTCTCAATAACTAACAACCTTTCCTACCAATGTTGTTTTTTACGAGGTTTAACGATGAAAAGTTAATGTTCAGGCCGTACGATACTTAATGAGGTTCCCGACGGAATACACATGCAATTTATTGAATGAGGCGCGTCATGCTGCCTTTGGAAAAATAGCTGCAAAAATGGTTTTGGAAAGTCTTGTTGGAGAGTGGCCAAAGGTTAACTTTTCAACTATATTTCCTCTTTTGATATACAAGACTAAATGCATAAGAATACACATGACTATACTCTACATCTTTTATGTGTGTGCCCTTTAATACCATTGAAAAAAGTCTAAAACTAGAGCCATGCATGTGTTTTGGTTAAGGATTTTTTGCATCCATGGAACTACGCATTTGACACACTCGCGCATTCTGAACCAACTGATTAAGAATAGACGGCCTGCATTCCGACTTGGTAAATCAAGTTCAAAGTACAATGTCAGAATGCGAGCGACCTTGATCCGGTGGTTTAGATTGGTGAGTGCGCGAGTACAAGGAATCCAAATCCTATTAAACATTCTTACATACTTTGATATTGTCATTGTGTTGACTTCTTGAGATGCCTTAGAAGGAGAATGGTGAAAGACCAAAGTCTGATATTGAGAAATATGTATGGTCCAATCACAAGCCATGGATCCCAAGACCTCTTCTAAGTATGCATGTAAGGATGGGAGATAAAGCATGTGAAATGAGAGTGGTTGAATTTGAAGAGTACATGATGCTTGCTAATAGGATTAGGAAGCATTTCCCAAATCTCAAAAGCATTTGGCTATCAACAGAAATGCAGGTAGGTAGCAGCATTATTGTCTTGACAGACACTCACGCATATCTGACACCGAACACATCTTATTGTCTTGACAGACACCGACACCTATCTGACACCGAACACATCTTCAACAAGAGAAGTACTAGATTACTAACACACACTTGTTGCTAATTTCACAGCTTTGTTATTCTTCTTTCTTGTGTTTAGGGAGTGATAGACAAAACGAAAGAATATTCTTCGAGGTGGAACTTTTATTATACAAAGGTAAGAAGGCAAGATAGGAGTAATGTGTCAATGGCTGAGTATGAAGGAAGCTTGGGAAGGGAGAGAAGCACAAACTATCCACTTGTTAATTTTCTTATGGCTGCTGATTCTGATTATTTCGTTGGAGCATTGGGTTCTACTTGGTGCTTTCTTATAGATGGTATGAGAAATACTGGTGGGAAGGTTATGTCTGGTTACTTGAGTGTCAACAAAGACAGATTTTGGTAGCAATGTAAGATATTTATATATAGTTTTGACTATTTCAATAATATCAGAAAACATTTATGTAGTCTTTTGTAAAATAGTGTAAATTATTCTTATCTATTATCATTGTACATGTCAACAATAGTACACATTGCAGAAGAATCTTGTCTTGTAAAAGAATCCACATATTTGCAACTACTTCTTGTGCTTTATTTTCTTTTCCTTGGTTCTGTATATTCTGTTAACAACTCAACTTAAAATTCTAGACAGTCAACCCTTCAAACTCATCTTGTAGTTCAATCATTGAATATGACGTTTGAATAAACTTTACTATCACAAGTCCTTTGAAAACAACATATAAAATCTTAAGAATTTTTTTCCAACCTACCATTTTTTTGGAAAGTTACTATACTACCATCTATTTCAACCATTAATTTCAATACACTATTCATTTAAATAAAATATAAAAAAAGTGAATAAAGAACCTCTGGTCATTGGACTGCGAAGTCTATGTAATTTATACAGCTTTCGCCCATTAGACTAGACTGACGGAATTGTTTATGTTTCGTATTTTTTTAGTATAATATTAAAAATAAATAAAAATTAAAATTAAAATTAAAATTAACATTAAAAGTAATATTTAAAAATAAATTAAAATTAAAATAAATATTAATCACAGTAATAAATAAATACTAAAATAAATAAAATTTGTTTAAATAAAAATAAAAATAAAACATAATAATAAATAAATATTAAAATAGCTTTCATTGTTTTATTATTTTAGTACGGGTATGTCACTTCAATCGACGGAGAGTTTGTTTAATTTATTATGTTAGAACAGCTTTGCCACTGCAATGGTTGGAGGTTTTTATTATTTTATTATTTAAATACAGGTCCACCACTGTAATGGACGGAGGATTTGATTACTTTATTATTTAAGTACAGCTCTGCCACTGTAATGAGCGGAGCCTTTCATTATTTTATTATTTAAGTATAGCTCTGCCACTGCAATGGGCGGTGGCTTTCATCATTTTATTATTTAAGTACAGCTATGCCACTGCAATGGGCAGAGACTTTTATTATTTTATTATTTTGAAATTTTTATTGTGAACTATAAATACTATTGATGTTAAATGATCCTAACTACATTCAACACACAACTCTTTAGTTCTCTCTTAAAAATATCTTCAACAGGCGGAGAGTTTCCAACGTTTTAATATATGAAAAGAGATGTTAAACTGATTTTTTTCTCCTGTAAAGCCTCCAATGAAGATCAAGTTGTTGAACACGCAGACATTTGAGCATTTGCATAGGTATTTGGAGGGATGGTTAGGGAAAGAAATTGCACAAGGTGAAAAGATCCATAAAATTGAGAGGCTAGTTACGGTGTCCGGCTTAAATGGACCAACTCATTCTTGAAGACTTATTCACAACGATGCATGTGTGTTTATAAAAATTGCTTCAACAAAAAGATATTGTGTTGATGGTTGTAAATCTTAGAAATGTTTATATGTTTGTTTGAACTTGTTGATGTTGTTTAGGTTAAATATTGTTGTTAAGTTCTTCTATTTGTCTAAGTATTTTAATTTATGTGTTGTCTTTTGGAGATGTTATTTATATTAAATGCAAAAGTATTAGTGGCATTTGTAATACGGTGGGAGAATTGACTTTGGGTTTTGCGTTTTATCGCAAATATTGCGGATATCAAGAGTCGTCACCGACTTTTCTTTTATCCCATAAAGAAAAGGGTGAAAAGAACAGGAAAGACCTTTTGAGAATTTTCTTCAGTTCATGGGGTAGATTATGAAAAGGAAAGGTATTAACACCCTTTTCATCTGTAGTTATCTACGGGCTCTTAATCGCTTGATCACTTTTTGAAATGCTTTGTGTTCGTGTATGGTTGAAAATATTTTGAAAATGCCTAAGTGCGACAATTTTGTAATGATTCTCGTATCGTTAAGAATTTATACAAAATGTTTGTTTTGAAAATATTTATGAAAGGAAGTGTTGTTTTGTGAAAATTGTTTTGAAGATGTTAATGTAAGACAGTTTGCTTTATAATAACCCTTGTATCAGTCCTCAAGAGTGTTTATAAAGTGTTTTTGAAAGTAGTTATTTTGAAAGTGTGAAGTGTAAAGATTGTTTTAGTTTGTGAGCAAGCAATTACGAGCGATCTACCTACTCAAAAAGTCTTTGTTCTTTTCCTCCTCTTTTAGATAGTGCTAACCTACCATTAGTTAGTATAGAGATCTATCATTGGATGTGAGGGACAGGCGTGAATCATCGTACAATCATAGAAGGTAACTTGTAAGACGCTTTAACAATTATCGTAACGAACTAAGATCGTTTACCAAAGGCAACATCAAAGGGTCATCGAGGGACTACGATCTTTTAACCGAGGGTCTTTTCTAAAGCATCTCACGTTCGAGGGACACGACTGTTTAAATCTGAGGAAACAAGTGAGGTTACTCTAGAGGTGCGTGTGTGCGAAGTGTTTTGATTTCAAGTATTTATCTTTGAGATCAGGTTTTCTAATATTTTATTTTAGGTCTTACCATACAAACCCTAATTACTAACAGTAATAAGGAAAGCAGTAAATTGCAGAAATTAAATGTCCTACGCTATTACAATGCTTCGGGGATGGGGAAAATTTTATGAATAGGAGAGGAAAAACAATAAACCCTAATTTATCTATTACAAGCTTTGAGCAATTATATAATTTGTATTAATGCGAAAATTAATTGTGCTAAGACGGTGAAAAGGGAAAAATATTTAAGAAAAACCCTAAAATATTTCCAAGTATTTAAGAAAAAGATTTTGTTGTTTTTGTTTTAGAAAAATATTTGAAATAAAAATTAGACCTAATTCAAATTTAATTTATAATTTAATTATCTAAAATAAAATAAAGTGTGTTTAAATTAATTTACCAAAAATTAAATTAATTAATTAAAATCTAAAGGATTCTAAGTATTTAGAAAATATTTTTGGTGTTTTATTTAAAAAGAAGATATTTGAAGTATAAAACTTAATTCTAATTAAATAAAATCAACGTGATTAAATTTAATTGATTTTATTTGTCAAAAATTAAATTAACTAATTAAAAAAAACTAAATCTAAATTTTTATCATTTTTTATGATTTTTCTGATTTTAAATAAAAATATTTAAAAGAAAAGAAAAATAGTTAATTAAAAAAAACAAAAAAAAAAGAATTTTAATGGGCCTGAGTGTAAACAAGTAGACTAGGGGATGAAAAGTAGCAAAAATCCCAGACCCAACATAGAGAGCCCAGACGCTGTTTGTGATACAGTGGTGATAGCTTAATGGAGTGCGCCATGGGTGTGGCTTTCTGAAGCGCTAGATCCTGGAGTCATGAGATCTGATGGTCAAAATGTGAGGTATAACATGCGCGTTATTGCCTTGTTTTTATTGAATCTGTGAGAAATAAACATGAAAAAGAAAAATGTCCCATGCCTGGCTCGAATCCGTGACCAGGCATAGGTATGACTTAAGAGCAAGCGCGTTGCCACTGGGGTGGCTGTTACATCCGGTGATAAAACATGTTGCAATAAATATAAAGTAAACTTGTTTTCAAAAAATGGACTTTATCTTCTTCCTCGCGTGTTTATAGCAACAACAACATCATTGTTCAAATTTGTAAAACTCTCATTTCTCAACCATTTTAAAAGATGTAAACATCAAACTTGCTTGAAATTTAACCACAAATCCAACCATATAACTTTCAAAAGCTATAGATTAAAGGTTAGGATTAGTTTTGCTTGGTACCAAACTGAACCCTAATATTTCAGAAACTTCAATTCCAAAATTCTCCTCATACAATCAACATAAATGAAAACTAAGGACATTGTTAGTTTTATGGCAATGATATCTATATTTTTGCTTTAGAAAATAAATGCAAAGGATGCTTGTACAAAGATTTTAAAGTTTAGAAAACTTACCTCTGAAGTGAGAATCGAGCTTGCAGTTAGAGCACTTCTTGAGGTGTTAGGATGATCTGGATAGCTTCACTGAACTCCCATGAAGCTTTTGCAATGCCTACCTTGGATTGAGAATGCCTCAATTCTTCTAGACAATTCAAGTTGCAAAGGTGTAAAGTGAGGTTTGAACAATGATGGTGGAGGTGTTACAGTCGTGAAACAATGGTATGGATGGCTTCTATATGATGTATATATGATGTTTGAATGATAAAAAAGGAAAATGTACGAGTGGATTTGAAGTTGGGTGTTGGAAGCTTCAAATGTGAAACAATGGAGTTTGCTTGGTGATTCTAAGTTTGAGAGTGTTTGCGGGCTTGTGAACTCGTGTGTTAGCTTGCAAATGATCCCTATATTTATAAAGAAAAGGTTTGAGGGTAAGGGCTGATCAGATTTGAAAGATAGTGTGTTATGGTTTGGTTGCTTAGATTTAAAGTAACTTTGAAGAAACATTGTTCTAATGCATTGTAGGGTGGTTGATAGGCTGTAGATGGTTGATTCTTGGTGTTGAGATATTTTGAAGTCAGAAGCAACAATGTATGGGCTCAAGGAGAGTTGACATTGTGTACAAAGTCACTTTATCAAAATGGCAATGTGACCTTTCTCCCTTAAATGGCAAGTAAGCTTGGACAAAACTTTAATCACTTGGATCATAGCTCAAAAGCTTATTCAATCTTCTGATTATAGCAAGATTTGGAGGTTAGAGGTCTGAAAAGTGGGATTATGCAGCATGGCTTGAAGATTTGGTTATCAACTTGTCAAAAAAATGACCTATAATGCAACCTTAGATACCCAACTTCATCTCTTTGAAACTCATAGCTCAAGCATGACCTTTTTATGATCTTTGACATTTTGGAAAGCTTGAAACTTTGTCTACAACTTTCATGTTGTGAGTTTTGGCTAAATCAAATGGGAACTTGGTGAAAAACAACCATGAAGTTGGGACAAAAATCTGATCAAAACTTGTTGAAATTTTTTCTGTGTTAGACAAAAATAATCAAAACTTCATGGGCCTATATCTCTTAATCCAA